ACAATTAACCCAAATAGTGAACACAAGAAGTACAGGGGGTTTGTGTAAAATCAGGATATTGAATCAGAGAAGAGTTTCCCCCATAGAACAATTTCTTCTTGCTTGAAGGCAAAAAGAAAATACAGGCCTACTATGTATATTAAGTTTTCTTACACATACACATAAAATCAAGAAAGCCTCGGAACCCCTAGTACACCCTGGTTGGGGAACCACTCGCTTTCAGCCTGTGTTAAAGCCTCACACTAAACCGTTGGGAATCTTGTCAGCTGTTTTGTCTTTGCCCAAGGCCAGGTCTTCCCAAACTTCAGTACATCAAGGACTCCAGATAGTCTCTTACTGTAGAGCACATGTCCTGATATGATAAAGGTTTTGTCCAGAGAGCCTGGACTAAGAGTTTTGTTGTATTTCACTGCAAATTGAGAGATTGGGGTTGATTGTTTTCATTTGAATTAATACGCCGATCAACCAGCAGGTGCAGAACTATAGACACAAATCATTATCACAGAGGTACAAGTTGTCAAGTCATGGACACCGTTGAGGACGTGTGGGAAAAGGTGGACACGATTCATAATGAAACTGAAATTCAATGCTGGTTTTAACAGTTTTCCACAAACATAAAAACATATTAATACTAACATACTGTCCTTTGACAATGGGGTGTGAATGTGTTTCATATGAAGATGAGATACCTCTGGTGATTCAATACCTCTTGGCCAATAGCTCCGATATGAAACTGTTGTATAATGGATTTTTGTCTCTTTGGCATAAGTCAAGGACAGGGCCACTGTCGAGCCTGCCAGTGACCAGCTGATTACGCTGCTCAGTGTCAGGAGGACGCGCTGTTTGCTGTTGCGAGACAAGCCAGCTGATCACAAGCCATTTTCGTTCCCCAAATCAAAGCCCGTATTTGCATTGCGTCACTGGGATTGATCGCTAATTAGGATTCCTTCCGTTTAGCTTCGTGTGTGTGTGTGTGTGTGTGTTTTCTTTCTAATCCCGTCTCATTTTTCAGGTGCTGCTGGTGTTTTGGTGGGACATCCATTTGACACTGTGAAGGTGGGTGTCCGTTCCATCTTCTTCTTCACTATTTGCTCATGTTAGGCAATGACGTGATCCAGTACTTTGCTAGTTAAAATGCTGTAAGTCAGACCACTCTGTTTGCAACCTGAATGAGAATCCAGATAACCTAACGTAACATTTTCAGCCTATAATAGGAGTTACATAGTTTAGCAAGAATAATCAGTAGGTTTTTTTTGTTTTTAAATTGACCCTTTCATCAGAAGAGACATAGAAGTACATTCATATAAATTGTACATGAGAACAAAAGAGGTGCACTCACTTTCTTTTAGATTGGAATGAAATTTAAACGTAGGGACATTGGTTTCAGTTACTGGCATTTTGCTCTGGTATTCTCTAATCCTATACAGTCAAAGCACAGTAAGTCACAGCAAGTAAACCTGTCTACACACTACTCTTTGGCCTAAAGCTACTCGTTACAGTCAAGGGCAAATGCAAGGAATTTTAGATGTAGCACACAGTTGTTTGAAATTGCAGCCTCCACTTACGTACAGACATGGTGAATGGTTTGGTTGTAGCTCTTTTGTACTTTGCTTTTAATGTCATTTCTCCCTGAGCTGGTGTCTGGGGGAGGCTGTCTTTAACAGCAGCAGTGTCACTGTGTTGTAGATGAGAGAGAGAAATAAACAACCTCTCCATGGAAATGTGACCTAGTAAGTATGGTCAAGGTCTTTTTTTTTTCCTTCTCCCCCAATGTCTTGTCTTGAGCTATAGAAATATAAAGCACAGAACAGACTTTTTTTTTTTTTTGTACAACTTCATTCTTTGTAATTTTTCTCCCCCTCATGTTGAACCCTCTAAGCATCCCTTTTTACCCTAAAAAAAAAGAACCATTTCAAAACACTGTTGCCTGCTTGTTTCCCTTTTAAACCTGTATAATATGTAGCTGTGGCTCTCTTTGGCCTCAATTCTCTGTTGTACGACTCTAACACGAGGCCTGTCATCCACAGGTGAGGCTGCAAGTTCAAAATGTGGACAAACCTCTGTACCGTGGGACATTTCACTGCTTCCAGTCAATCATACGCCAGGAGTCGGTAAGCTTCTGTTCTGTGCATGCCCTCTTAATGTTTAATTGCATTTCTTGCAGATTTTTCTTCGGCCGCATTTTAAAAATGTCATTGCTGTCGAGTAACGTGTGTAGCTTTCACCATGTGCCGCTTACTATGCCACAGTGGATTAAAGTGATTATTTAGAGTGTCCAGTTACAGTGTCCTCTTTAAACGCAGGCATCAGCCCAAACTCAGCCAGCATGTTCCTAACATGGGGTGTTAGGGGTGAAAGGGGGGAGGTGGTGCTGTTAGCCAGGGTCAGAGAGGATCTTCGTCCTGCATGGGCTAAATAAAGCTTTGGACATCGTGCCATTTGAGCTAGGTGGAGTAGGCTTGGTCTCAGTGAATCTGTCTTGGCTGTTTCACATGGAGGTATTGGATTGGAAGTTTACACTTTAATCTACTCTTTTTTTTTTTTTTTGATTTAGCTGCCAATAATTGAGTCTGCATATGACAAACAATCAATACACATTATAACTGGATCAGCAGGCTAGAGAAGACAAGCGGTATCAGTGTAGTCATTTTTCCACATTCCAGCAATGCCTCTGTGATAGCCTCAAGGCCTCAAGGCTTTAAAACTTGACATGTCAGTGTCAACAGTGTTTTCACTTTTTGACTATCTCTAACTTGTTTCTCCCTTATAACTGGAAAGGCAAGCACAGCTACTGTAACTTATAGTTGCATCAATACAAAGACATTTTTCTGTCATCATTTTAGGGGTATTTTGGAGCTCAAATTTCAAAAGTTTCAAGATTATCATACTATGCACCCTGTATCCCGAATCAGAACAAATTGTGAATTACTCATTTGTGGGCACAAAATCTAAATGTACTCCCTTAGATTTGTATGTGTACCTAGTAGCTGAAACTGGATGTCAAGAGTGAAAAAAACCCCACAAACCTCAAATGTAGTTTGAATGTTGATAGTAATGGGCTGTAGAAACATGGCGGCCTCCAAGGAAGGTGACCGGCTGCGTCTATAGATATAAAGGTTCATTCAAATGTACAAACAACATATACACCAACAGAAACATAGTCTGCCAGTAGAGCACACTGGACCTTCTGCCGGACTCTGTAGAGATCACGATGCAACACAGTGGTGTTCCCTCAGTGATCCCAGTAATGTGTCTTTGTGTCTGTAGATGCTCGGCCTGTACAAAGGCATTGGCTCTCCCATGATGGGCCTGACCTTCATCAATGCCATAGTCTTTGGTGTCCAGGGCAACGCCATGCGCAAGCTTGGCCGCGACACACCTCTCAACCAGTTCCTGGCTGGAGCCTCTGCTGGAGCCATCCAGTGTGTCATTTGCTGCCCAATGGAGCTGGCCAAGACACGCATGCAGCTGCAAGGGACCGGAGAGAAGAAGTCTAAGAGGAAGCTGTATAAGAACTCCCTGGACTGTCTGGTGAGAATCTACAACAAGGAGGGAATCCGAGGTATCAACCGCGGCATGGTGACCACCCTGATGCGCGAGACGCCCGGTTTTGGTGTGTACTTTCTCGCTTATGACATGTTGACGCGTTCCCTGGGTTGTGAGCCAGAAGACCCTTACATGATCCCCAAGCTGTTGTTTGCTGGTGGAATGTCTGGCATCGCTTCCTGGCTCTCCACCTATCCCGTGGATGTGATCAAGTCGCGTCTTCAGGCGGACGGGGTCGGCGGTGTCAACCAGTACAGTGGCATCATGGACTGTGTCAGACAGAGCCTAAAGAAGGAGGGGTGGAGGGTGTTCTCACGTGGACTCACGTCCACTTTGCTCCGCGCGTTTCCGGTGAATGCTACCACATTTGCCACTGTGACTTTATTTTTAATTTACATGCGTGAGGGAGAAGAGTGTAGCATTCAGGACTCTGAGCCGCAGTCTGTGCAGCTGCAGCCACTGCAGCCGCAGACGCAGACGCAGCCGCAGCCGACCAGCCTGTAAAGCCGCTGCGCGCCAGCGAGCATTACTACAGTCATCAGCACATTTATCGAGTGTAGATGGAATTTGCAGCTTCATGCTGGTCTATGATCTGTTAACTGGTGTCCATAATGAGAAAGGTGAACTGATCCTAGGTAAGCATCTGCCCATGGAGCTTCAGCAAAGTGACCACATGTAGTATTTAAATAATATATATTTTACCATGAAAGCTGTACTTGTAAATATGGTCTGTTTTTAAACGTCTGTGGTTTTGTACACACTACTTTTTGAGTTTTAATTAATTTAGGGAACTTGACGGTTACAAGCGTTACTGATGTCCCTAAAAATGTCAAGTCAAAGAAACTCTTCAGGTCATAATGGAATATGTTTGGAATTCATGTTAACAACCGATCACCCTTGTGACAGTTATTGATTACCAAAACCAGGTCTACAAAGTTTAGCATACTTCTAGACATTAATGAAATTGTGCTGTTCCTTTGCGCAAACTTCTATCAGTGAAATGAATGTGATTTTAAAGATTTAATTTATTAATTTTAAGCAGTTGACCAATCATAGTAATCTCTCCATGGTGTTCAGGTCAAGTCATCCCCTTACTATTGACCTTCGTATAGTGTGAACACAGCATTTTAGCGTCTTATTGTAATAGTTACAAATACAGGGAAAGCCATGTACATGTAAATGTCCAAGCTCCATGTAGTTACTGTATTCTTCTTCTGAGGTTACAACTGTTTGTTGTTCAACTTTCCTATAAGAAATCACAGGAGTGTGATCCAAGTTGTGGATGCTGTCTGAAGTTTTATCATCTTTTTATTTCATTTTTTTTGTCTACTTTAATAATCTGCCTTGAATTCTGAAGTTCATAATGAAAATGTTACAGACCAACATGTTGGCCCATTGCAGTATGACATAAACGCGACTTAAATACAAAATGTGTTAAAATTTCTTTAAAATGCTTAATTTAATTAAAAACAATCAGTTTAAAACCAAATCTGAAGCAGCTTCTTTTCTTCTGGACATTGTACAATGTCTAAACAAAGCACCTTGTTATGATATTAAGCACATGTACGGTTAAAACAATTTCTTTTTTACTTAATGGTAGATTTTATATTATAATGCAAGATTCTCTTACAGTGTCGTACAAAACAAATGGCTTGTTAAAGGTCAAAAATGCATGTGTAACACCTAATTGCGTATCAAAATAGCTAAAGCTATCACTTTCCTCACATGTGGATATCTTCATGTCTAAATCTGCAGTTCTGAACTAACAGTGCTGTCACTTTTCCTATCAATAAGTAGCAGATGTTAGACTGCAGAGTCCAAAGTGCAGGTCTGGAACTGCTTTGGGGTTGTCCAAAGACATAATGACATACATGCTGTGAATTCAGTGCTTTTTCTTCTCATGTAATCCTTTTGTAAGTAAGCTTTAGATGTATCTAGTGCAATCATGCATTTTTTTTTTTTTTTTTTTCCTGTTTCAAGCCTTTACTTCTCTATTTTGTAAGTACTTCTGACTAGTAAGTTTGTGACTAAATTGGTGGATGATACATCTTTGTAAAAGGGCTGCTGCTGTTGTGTTCTGTACTTGTATGTGTACAATATGTGCAGCATGCACACCATGTGGCTCCTTGAGAGTGAAATAAAAAGCCACTTTTTCTCATATTTTCTGAAAGGTGTGGTTCTTAGTACAACTATTACCACAGTATGTTACATATTGAGTTGTCAGACCCTTCAAAACCACAAACAGGATATATGGGTATAGAGAATGCATGAGTTGTTTCACTGAGTAAGTGACTCTAAAGAAATAAAGAGACTGACCTCTAGTGGTTATAGATAGGTATCACATTTTTACTACAGTTGGTGCTTGGCAGACTCACTCATGTTTATCTTTTAATATCTTTAGAACATAAATTCTTTGACACAATGTACAAAAATAGCACAGTTTGACGAAATGTAACTATTTACCTTTTAGAGCAGGATTGTAAACAAATATATCCATTATTTTGACAAAAACAAGTTATTCAAGTGTCAATCAAATATTGATTGCATTCTTATGATCACAGTATTGCCTTAACATCTGCCATCTGACAGATTAGAGCCAGTACATGAATCTTAAGGGAAACCAAATAATAAAAAGAAAATACAGCATAAAACAAATAGTATGCTTTATATCAAGACATATGTGGTATTATATAACATACAAAGTGAGTTGAGTGGTGTTCCCCTTCAAATAATTGTGCAAGAAGGTTGACTCCTGAGGTTCTTCTCTCATTGAGAGATCAGCTAGAGGTGTTACTTTACGAAGCATAACAGTCCCTAGTGAGACTGAACAAAGAAGTAGCAAACATAAGGGCAGGAAAGACATATTAGTAAGAAAGAGAACAGTAGTGCAGACAAAGGTAGAGGAGAGGAATAAATGGTAGAAACAGATCTCAGATTGTGGTATTCCTACATTGGTTCCCCCCCGTGCTGCTAGCTGTTTTTTGATGTGTTCATGAGGAAGGAGTCACACGGGTAGCGCAGGAAGCGGTAGATCTCCTCAGCTCTGGATCGACTCATACAGCCTGCCTTCTGTATGGCTTCAATGGAGCTGCAGGAGGAGTAAAGGGGGGTTAGAGGAGAGTTATACTGTGTTATTCTCTTCTTATTTTGCCACAGTATACACGTACACTTCCTTTACCTGTTTATGAGTTGGGCAATTGACCTGAAGTTGTGGCTCAAGCTGAGGGCATGGACGTAGTTGACTGAGGGCAGACTCAGGAACAGCTGCAGGGCCTGCTGGCTGTGCTGCCCTTTGACTTCCAGCGGTACAGCGATACCCTGACCTTTACGCTGCTCCAGCCGTGCCAGGTCTGCCAGCAGTCCAGCACTCTCTTCAGCACCACCGCTCCACAGCAGGCGCACCCCGGTCTGTACCAGCGCTGTCAGAGTGCTGTCGTAGTAACGTGTCCGCTGAAAGGGACGTGACACCTCACCTGTGACAGGGGCAGTTATCATAAAAGGTCAGAAACATGTAATATCATCTCAGTAAAGTAAGTTGAATTGTAAACTATGAAAAGTGCCTGTAATGCTGAACATTCAGAACATGGTATGTACAGGTGTTTACTTCAATTTATTTTAATATTATTTTCTATTAAAAGGTCCAGTGAGTGACATTTAGGAGGATCTATGGGCAGAAATTGAATACTGAATATTGCAATCTGCAACTACACCACTAGATGCCACTAACTCTTACACACTGGACCTTTAATCGACTCATTTTTAGGCCTAAGAAATATCAGAAAATAGTCAGTTTTCACAATTTCATGCAGGTTCATATATTTCTGTCCTGTTCCTACAAAAGCCCCAGAATACCCCGTACGAGATATTTGACTAAACAGATCAATAGGCTGACTGACCTGGCTTAGTTCTGTCCTTCTCCACTATCAGACACACGCGCTCAAACAGTCCCTGCAAGCTGCTCACTCTCTCAGCCAATCTCTTCCTGTTCTGCATGGCGGCAAGATCTGATTGGCTGTGCCTCTCCACTGCCATCCTGTTGCTGACGATGAAGTAGCTGCCGTCCAACGAGCAGACGTGGACAGTGGCGGTGTGGCGCTGACGCAGGCTGGTCATCAGCTCCACTCCGCTACTGATGCAGCGACTGTCCGCCAGAATACAAACGGGTCCGGACGAAGCAGAGGACTCGCTGACTGATGAATCCTTTGTAGTGGACTTTTGAGGCTCAGAGGAGGTGGCAGGGAGAGTCTGGACAAAGGGAAACAAAAACCTCAGTGTAGTTTTAAGTTTAACTGAATGATCATGTATTTTAATTTCACACATACTGTATGACCCTGCGCACATGTGCTGTCTTGTTTGATCGTACCTGAGGTTGTTTCTTGGAGGATAACTCTAACTCTACAAAGTCTAGTTCATCAGAGAGCAAATGCTGATTTTCTAACCTCTGGCGACACCTGCAGGCAAAAGAAAACAATGCTGTAGTGATTGGTGAATTTTTGTGTTTGTGTTCTACCACATGAGAACTTCTTTACCTCTCATTTTGCTGTTCCTCAGTCACTGAGCCTCTCTGTGCCTTGCTCAGCAGTGAGATCTTGGATGCTAGGGTTGAAGACGAGGAGGAGGAGGGTTTCTGCTGCAGCTGAGGCCTGCTGGGCTCCGGGTGTACCGCCTTTGGCCACAGGGAGACAGCAACACTCCCTCCTATGAGACTTCTCTTCTTACTAACTTCCTCTGTCTCCTCTTCACTAGAATCATTAATGCGTATGACACGGGTGCGCTTGGTCGTCACCCCAGCTCTCTGCTCTGGTGGGGCTTCAGCTGTAGTCTTAGCGCCAGCTCCGGCTCTTGCTCTGACTTTATGCAGGAAAACACGCCGTCTGGTGGCATACTGCCTCTTCCCGTCCACATACGAGTCCTCGGGCATAAGTTCAATGTCTTCATCCTCTTCCTCGCTGCTCTGCACCTCCTCCACCTCACTTCCCACCACAAAACTGTCTTCCGCATATGTTTCATCCATTTCAGGCACCTGGGACAAAAGGTTAGGAACATTGGCTGAAGTATAGTTACTTGAACTTCTTTGTATTTTGTTTTTTATGTAGGAAAAGCTGAGACTAAAATATACAGTTTACCTGGGAAAATATGTCCATGTTGTGATGATTTCTGTAGGACATTTTGAACTTGCCCTGGACTGCAGGGCTTCTCACTGACTTCAGGTAAACACCGTGCATCTCTGATTCTGATATAGAAGGGAGACAGACAGAAGTGTAAATGTTCCTTCAAAAAGTAAAAAATTCCTTCAGCTTACTTGAGCTCAAACACTTCATTTCAGTGAATTAGATTTGAAACACAATCCACTGAAAGTCCAATAAAATCACATTTCTTGGAATAACCAAGTTGTACCGTTCAGTCCCTGTGAGAGGTGTGTGTTGTCGACGACAAAGCCTTCAAGAGAATTATTCTGTTCTTCTCCATCCTCTTCATCAGATGACACGTCTGCCCCCTCCTCCCCGTCCGACAGCTCGGCTTCTTCGTCAAGGAACTGACGCCCTTTTCGACATACGGTGTGCTGCGAAAGGAAGGATGAAAAATGTCAAGGTTGATGGATGCTGAAGGTGTCCATGCAACAGATATGACAGATATTTATAGACTTGACATTTATGGAAGGGGGAAGGTGTCATTTTTGCAAATATTAAACAGATCTAAAATGTCTTATGATTGTATGTCGCAAAAGACAAACAGCAGCAACCACATTTGTAGTGTTTTTAAAGTGCGTTTTATTCCGCACTAGCAAGTTATACTAGTAGTTATGACAAAAAGTAACACTTACAATATGTCCACTTACAGTAGAACCAGAAACAAACAACAACTATAACTGGGTTTGCATGTAAATAGGTGCCATTCATTGCATGTGGTTACATAAAAACATGAAAAATGCATGATGAAAATTTTGATTCAGATTAGAACATCCCACAGAGTCCCCTGTTACCACACAGACCTTGGCTTTGCCCTGTTGGACCCGTTGACCTCCAGCTGCTGTGGTTCTGCGTGTGAAGGCAGACTCATTCTGGAAGTCATCATCAGAAACAGCTTCGCCCTCTATTTCATCAGACTGGAGATCAATGAAGAGAACAAATTAGTCAATCACTGTACACCGTTAATGGTTTATGATGCTGCATATTATTAAACTATGAGGGTTTGTGGAAATAATCACAAGTAATGCATGGAGTTAAATTATTTCGATTAAATCTTCTGTGTTGAGCCATGTGGAATACTTTACTGCTAATGAAGAAAATCTTACTGTATTAAGTGCAGCCACACGTTTCCTGTTCACAACCACTGGGGAGTCCACATCACTGTAGATCTTTGACTAGCAGAGACAAAACATGTTCAGTTTTACATACAGCTTGTGTCTGAACACAGTACTGTAAACAGTACAAGTATGTCAATGTCTTATGTGACTTTCATATACTGTATAATATCAAAATACATTCCAGGAGCAAATGCCTTTTCACTGCATGCAAGCTGGTTGCCATGACAGCTACAGGTACCTTGGAAATGATGGACAGGCAGCCTGAGCCGTCTGAATCAGATATCAGATATCTGATTCAGATGTCTGGGCTGTTGTTTTTGCAACACAACACAAAGGTTGCATCAAATTTTTTTATTTGTAATGTAATTTAAGTGGCTATATTTTTACATCTCATTTACCTTATGAAAGGGAAAAAGGAATGAATGTATATCAAATGGAACTGCAATGAGTAGAAAATCTATACATTTTCCAGCAAAAATGGCTTTCATTGTACCATATGCAAGTCATAACCTCTGTTTGTTAATGTCTGTATATTTAGTTACACCTTTGTCTGTCAGATTTGTCACCATAATGAATAATGAAACAGCATTGCTCCTCCTGAATCTGAGGTAGGACAATCAGCCCGTGCCTCCTTTCCAGCGCCCTGGAATAAACTAAAGTGTGATGCCCCAATAATAGGAGCAAATCCTCCGGCACTAATTTGTTTTGTTTTTTTGTTTTTGTTTTTTTTTTTAAATGGAACCCCCACCGCAATCTACCACTCCAAAGGTACTGTCCCTGACCTCTATGCAACACTTAGGAGGCCAAGACAGCCAAGACAGCCCAACAATTTCCAGAGCCTTCAGCAGCTC